GTAGATATCTGTGCTTGAAGGACAGCTGTGTATGTGTCCTTGAGAGGGAGGAACGAAGGGGGACAACTTCTAGTCCTGTGACCGAAGATTGCTTCTGACACAATTCTTGCATCAGTAGTGCTGTTTTATTTTAGTTTTTCCAATAAATGCATTAATTCCAGTATCAAAGTCACCAACCAGAAGGGGATGAGTGCTATCAGCACTCAATAGTTGATTGATTACAGAAGATGATGAAGGCACACAGAACCATGAAGTAGGTAGCAAATATTTAGAAAGAAAATATGAGATTGACAGAGGTGAGATCTGAAAGACACCTACTGATGTGCATCACTTTCATCTACTTCTTCCTAAACATCTGTGTTAGATATTTTTTCCCAAACCCTGAATGCAAAGATTAAAAAACTGCATAAGCAATATCCACTGCTTAATTACATGAACCGTTAAACTAAATAATTATTTTCTCAGGTCTTGTTTCCTATGAACACCAGGAACTGGCACTTCAGAGTAGGTACAAGAAATCCCTTAAACTACTATGCAACTTTAGACTAAGGTCTAAAGATAAAAGTTAAACATCACCTCCAAATTTATTTTAGTTTTGTTGCTAGCATTAATACTGTAATTGAGTATTATATAAATATCTTTGTCAAGCCTCACTGTGCAATTATTTTCTTTACTGAAGTCACAACACAATTCCAGTTTACTCACATACTGTGTTAAAAGAGAGTCTCCTAATTTTATTTTTATTGAATAGTCTCTTGATCTTCAAGAAAAGATGAGAACAGTAATTCTCAAGATATTTTACTGTCTCAAATTACTGCTTTAAATTGTTCGGGTTTTTTAATGATAGAGTCCTAATCCCTTTGTGTGAGTAGAAAAGACGAGAACGGTAATTCTCAAGATATTTTACTGTCTCCAATTACTGCTTTAAATTGTTCAGGTTTGATAGAGTCCTAATCCCTTTGTGTGAGTTGTGTTTAGGTCACTGGCTACTTTTTACAAATCTTGCAACAGAAACATTCTCTAAAATTGGGTAACTAGGACAGTAAATAGTATTTTAAATGAAACTCTATTATGGATTAATATAACAGCATGATAATATTTTCTGCATTTTCCATCCCAACCATCACATACTGAATCATCTTGTTTGATGACAAGCATACACATCTCATTAAACTGTCCATGACAACACCCAAATCACTTTCAATATTAAAGTTAGTTTAAATCCTGTAAGCATTTCACATTTTTCCACTCATTGGTTATTACTTTACACATAATGTCATATGCAATCCTATTTTTCCATTTATCTGTTTTGTTTGTGCCTGTCTGTGACCTATGTCCTCTACACATGACCTACCTAAACAAGTCTCGTTTACAAATGTTGCTCTTTCATTGCTCTGAGTCACTAATGTTGCAACATTTATTTCCATAACGCTATGAAGAACATATTGCAAAGCATATGCTCAAAGAAACATTCTAATGGCCTACAGCCAGAGTGCAATCAAATAGTCTGGAGAAAGAGCATTCAATACTCTTTCAATATTCAATAATGTAACTTTTACCTCCTCATAGCAACAACAGAAGTACAATGACATCATTACCAAACCTACAGGAGAGACTTTTATTGCGTGTTCCATAGAGATACAGAACATCTCACCGATAATGCCACAAAATCTGTTAAGTATGTCTGGAGTGACTAACTGGTACAGAATGCGCTGCTCGTCTAGTCACTGGACAGCAGTCTCAATTTAGACTTGAATTTGCTAACAAATACTGGTTGGAAGTATTAGTACTTGTACTCCCAAACACATGCATTACCCATTTTCCTACCAAGGGAGAACATGGGACTTTTACCCTACCCTCTATACAGTGCTTGATTGCTTCTCAAGATTACAAATTCCCAGTATGGGATTTTAGTTACCTTGTGAAAACCCCAGCTACTCACTAAATTTCTACAGCAGTTTCTCAAGACAGTATGAAAGAAGAAAACTGTACTTGTAAACAACAGTCAAAAGAAAACAAAAAATTTGGAACTATAAGCCAGGTTTTTTTACAAAAGCAATTCAATACAGCACGACATAGACTGATGTACGTTAAGTATAATTTTCTCCACAAAGTAGTAACAGTAACAGATTAAAACCAATCCTCAAACTGCAATTCAAGGAATACATAAGAAGAGTTAAAAAGTTAGTTAACCGAATTAGTTGTCATTTTCTGAAATGGAATTTATAATATGCCTCACAAATGCATGCAACATTAGCCCAATGCAATATTTGCTAATTATCTTCAGCAAGAATACTTTCTGCCAGAAAACAACACCATCAATATTGCAGTAGGGCTAAATGCATATTGCACACCCGGATATTGTAAACAGATACTCTCTATTTCAAGTAAGGCTGACAAGTCTACTCCCATTTAAACAACAAAAACCCACCCAGCACAGGTAAGGCTTTTAAATTTGAAACAAAACATAAAGCAGTTTTACCATGCAATGGGAAAGGTAGACCTGACCACTTTATTGCCATAAAGAATTGCTATACAACCTTTTGACTCCCTTCTTAGTTCTAGGCTTCCAGACCACAAGGAAGCCTGCAGGAATCCCTGCCATTTAAGTAAAATGTTGTGTAGGCATAGCATATCCCTTTAACATTGCAGAATTAGGTCAACAAAATAAACTGTTGATCAGTAAATTTAATTTTTAATTTAATCTATGGATAATAATTGCCTGGCTTCTGTCCACTGCACAGGAGTAGAGTGTTTTACCTTCCTCATGTGTTACATGTAGCTGCAAAGAGTAATTGCATGTTAATTAAAGGCATATAAAATACTTTCACATGAGGTAATTCTGATTTTTACAAGACTCCTTTTAGTTGAGCAGAAGAGGAAAAGAAGGAAAGCAGAGAAAAATCTCTTTCCTAAAAAAAAAAAAAAAGGAACTCCAGATATCTGAGAAGAAAAACACATTACATTCATTTGATAAACACATTTATTCCTAAAAATTTGCAAGAGCACAGAGAAGTGCTTGAAAGCCTCTCTCTCCACTTCAAAGAAGGGAGATGCTTAAAACTCAGGCAGCACAGGTATGCCACTATAGTGTCTACAGAAAAACTCTTTCAATCCCATGAAACACATTAATCTTGTTCCCAGAGGAACTCGTTACTCTTATCCAAAGAAGCTTTTTACCATTCTACATTTACTCTCGGAGAAGGTTGTTTCAGTTCTTTCATTAGCAGTGCCAGCTTACAATGTTTTGGCAACAATGACATTACTTTGATAAAAGTTATAAACAATGAGCTATCAATATAAATACAGATGAATAAAACTCAGTAATAAAACTTGTAATAAATTCTTCCAGTGACTTTTCCTGAATAGCCACTAATGCACTTGTATACGTATCTACAAATACAATTTCACTGGCAACTGACACAGCTGATACCATTTAATTGCAATCTTTACAGCTCATCTCCCTTTTCAAAGAAAGGGGCGATGGGCAAATCCCTCAATATAGCAAAGATTAAAAATCCCTACTACAGCACATTATTTAATTTCTCACGATGTCTCCTATAAGAAAAAAGGCACAGCAGGTGGCTAGTAAAATTTGTAGCAGACCTATAATGAGTCCAATCAAGCAGAGCTAGCAAGCATACAGGAATATAATCAGAAATTAGTGCACTAAAAATTACTTTCCTTCCCAGAAACAGAAATCATTACATTAAAGGCTTTCAGTGTTTTGATAAATATGAAAACAGCTACTTCAAAAGACTAACAGTATATGCTAATCCTTTCTAGTTGTTTTAAGATTTGCTTACTAGTGAAACAATAACAAAACTGAAGGCTCTCAGACATTCTACTAATTATTTTTAATCTGATCTTTTTTTACTTACTTGAGCATTTTTTCCCAGATATCACTGTCATAAAAGGCGTGACTCCAACCCATTTTGACTGTTCCAACAATGACATTCTGCTTAAAAACATCTGATCCTAACTTGCGATACAGTTCTTCACAATCATCCAGAGGGATATGGAACAACCCCAACATAAAAGCTAATATTGCTCCTGAAAAAGAAATATTTTGAAATGTAAAATATAGGCTGAAGTAAGATTATAAAGATGGATTACCATTTAATGTAGTTCATAAGTTAACAGAATATCTATCTTGAAAAGGGAAGAACAATTGACATTTATATCACTAAATTCATGTTCAAAGATCCCAAACCATGTTTCAAAGGAGTTCTACAAGATTGGAAGGGTCTACTTTCAAAAACAGAACAATGAGAAGTTGACAAATGGCATTATTTCCTTTCACAGGTTTCATCTCTGCAAACATATACGTGGCAGAAAGCAAATTAAATCCACTGCTTTATTTGGAAAGAGAAATTAATAATAGGAATCTATGCTGTGGTATCAAAAATATATTTGGATCATTACTTGCTATCCCGCAAACTCTGAGTCAGTAAAGAAAAACTCTAGGAAAATTCTGTAAAAAGAGGGGAGTTTTGATCAATTTGGAATAGATTTGGCTGCAACCATTTATAATTAGTCATTCATACATACTGCCATCTAGTGTGTGCCTAAAAAAAATTATGACCTACCCTTGCAGCAACAAAACAGCATGGTTGCAGAATACCATTAAAGAGACTGTGGAAAAATACAATTAATGCATCATTATAATTCTTAGATATATTAAACTGAAAGGGACATATACAACCTTTAAATGCAATTGTGCAATACTGTGAGGAGATGTAATTAAGCATTAGGAATAATAAGGACACATAATTTTTCCAATTTGGAAATGTATGCAATAGGTTTGAATAAAATTAGTTTAAAAAGGAATAAAGTATTGAAATAGAGTAAGAATAAAACACATATGCAGAAAGAACTACATTAAAAAGTTACAGATGGATTTAAAGGAGACATGACTTCCAAGCTTCTTTTGCTCTCACAAATCCCACCACAATAGCTGAGTGTCAGTGGATTGGTGGTCTCAATTTTTTAAAACATAGGCACAGGTTATATTAAGCATGTGTTCTACTTGACACATTGAAGTTTCATCAAGAGAAACTTACTCAACTCCCAAATCACTAAATGCCTGTATTCAAGTCAGACTAAACATCTAGCAGCAGAGAAACACCATTTTTCCTGAATCATGCAAATCCTCTCCTACTTTCTTTTCCTCTTAACGGTCCAGCACCAATTCTATAATACCATGTATTTGCTATTTTGATGAACAGTTTCAAAGCCAAAGAGACAAAATTCATAGCAAATGCAAATTCATTTTCATTTCACCTCCCGAGAAACAGCACCAAAAACTGCAGTCAGCTTCAGCACACAAGTGGCAGTAGATAATATCATAGTCAAGGTACACATTAAAGGGCTTTGCTGAAACCTGCTGGATGGTAAGAAGGAGAGTAAGGTCAACATCAAAGATATAGCGCAGGCTCTACCATATGGTCCAGCAAAAAAAGTGTCTGATGCTTCCACCACATCTTGCTCTGTATCACAGACTCCTATACTCCAACCACCATTTCAGTCTTAGTGACCAACACTGCAGGGGGAAAAAATACCTAAATAAAACCTTTGAGGCTAAGGATCTTATCTTGAATAACACAGGGATAGAGCTGGATAATGACACATGAGATAGGCAAAAATATAACCTGAAAGGCAAAAGTATTCTTTCCTTCTTCAGCACTAGTAAGACTTCAGCAGAAGTCTGGACCTGAATAGTATTCTTCAAAAAAAGATGGGGACCAACTGAAAAAAAGAAAAACCACACAGAAAAACCCCCCAAACAATCACGGGTCAAGAGAATCAATCTATAAGGAAAGCCTGAGTAAACCAGCTATGACAAAAGCCTTTAAAATGCACAAAAGGCTTCTGCAAAGAGAAAAAAAATCTGTTATCCGTGTTCCTGAGGAATGAAGACAAGAGGAAATAAATTTGAACTGCAAAAGGAAGATCCACATTAGACATTTGGAATTTTTTTCAGAATGTAAAGAGAGCAGATCACTAGCCCAGATTTTTCTGAAGAGACCTGACATTGATTCAAAATCTTAGACAATTGTCAGCAGTGAAACACACACAGCTGATCCTTCCCTTGGGAAATGAGACAGCCTCCTAAGGACACTTCCAGCTCTGTAATACCATGACTTCACTTATTTGTGAGTTCTCCTGAAAAAAATACTACTTCTATCAGAAATGTGTTCAAAATGCATTTCATAACTGGAAAGAAATAATGGAGGAAAAAAAAAATCAACACAGAGATGCCAGCTTTGTTTAAGCAGACTTCTCATCTGCACATCACTGAAGGCTGGGAGAATACATGGGGCAACTAGCCCTATGTTGTTCTTAACAACTCAGAAAGAATATTTTGGGAGAATATCATTATGTGAAGTCCTTACACAAACTTCACGTACATCCAAAACTGATGGTCGAAGAGATGAGTGCAATTCAGATGTTTTTGTAATAAAATGCACTGGAAAACAATATGCTTAGAGAACCTTTGATTACAGTATGTCAATGATTGAATCCCTCATATGATGCATCTGAATGCCACTAGTTATTAGATCAAGACAGAAATTTAGGAAAAAAAGTACATTTTTAAAATTCTTGGAGCAGGCCAGCACATTTGAAAATGTGGTAGTATGCACTTTGCCTGATCACATACTCTTGATGCTATAAACTGCTCCCTGTGACTGAACTATTAGTGCACCACTACTGAGAAGTATCTTTGTTATACTGGGAGATCACACGAGCAGTGAAAAGAACACACAAGCCACATCCACAGCATACCTGCAGATAAATTGTCCTCAATGGATTAAGTGCTCTATGTATCTATAAACATACCCTGGAGAACAGTGATAATCACCCTCACTTACAGAATTCCCAGCAGCTCAGTTCATGGGGCAATGGCACTTCTTTCTCTCAACTGCCCTGTTTTCATCTCTGGATTTCTGCACAGAATAGGCACAAACTTGGTACACAATTTATGTTAACTTGGTTCCCCATCAAAAATGTTTAGTGGCTATCACTGCGTTGCACGTGCTTGCAAATTTTCTGGTGCTTCCATGCGCAGATATTGTGCTCAAAAATAGGCATGTGATCTAAGTATGCAGGGCCCTGTAAAGCATCATTACAGCAATCCTTCTCTGTGGCTGCCTGCATTTACATCCGATGACCACCAGTGAAGTACAGGGAAGCTAACTACAAAGACAGACTTTGTGATGCTGAATCCACAGCAAACCAATTATTTCTAAACCTCAAAGGCAAAACAGCTAAACCATATTAAGAGATTGGAAAAACATAGCAGAAAAAAAAAGGACTGTAATGCACAAGAGGCATCCTTCCTGTCATTTCATACATAACTCTTGTAAACCACAATTCATCCAGCTGCAAGCTTCTGCAAATTCTACTGGCATACGTACCATCAACACAAACTCAAAACAGTAAAGTACACTGCTAGCACATGCAGACAGATACGTACAACCTCTCCCAGCCATGTCTTGTCACCTATTGCTAGCTGGACTACTGCAGAAAAAAGCTTTGTAGTATAAATAAAGCTTAAAAGAACACACTAAGTACTTACTAGCATACAAACCTCAAAATCTGGTGAAGAATTAAGAATAAAGTTAGTTCTAATCCGAGCAGTGGGATCGAATTAAGAACGCCAGGCTTCTCTATAAAAGATGTCTTTTTCATTATTGAAGGAGACTAATACTAGAGAAGTCATTTTTTAGTGAAACCATCTTCCAAAGAAACGACCACTACCTGCTAACTTAACAAAGGATTATTTTCAAAGACTATTAAAAATATAAAGCAGGGAACTATATTGTGCCTACAAATTAATTCTGTCCAGCAGACCTAAACATTCATCTCTTCTCTACTATTTTGAGCCTACTAAGCAAATCTCGGGAAACACGAACATTATATCTGGTCATGTTGATCTGCATTTAGTGTTATTTCTGAATTAAACTGTATGGAAGATAAGCATAGTGCAAAAAAAAATTTGAAGAATGTGGATTTCTAAAGGAAATTGAGCTATTGAACTACAGCATACCTCTTATGTTCGAAAACATAAGCATTATGCTGTTACTGGTTTAGCATCATTTCCAAAAGAGATGACTGTCTTTTAAATATGCTTTAGAGTTTCCTACTTCCTAGGGAGGAGTAACTTTATCACTGAGTCACAAAGTAGTTAAGGCTGGGAGAGACCTCTAGAGGTCATCTAGTCCAACCTCCTGTTCAAACAGGTTCAATTAGAACAGGTTACTCAGGACTTCTTCAGCCAAGTTTTGAATATCTCCAGGGATGGAGATACCACAGCCTGTGCATGGAACTCCTCCCAGTGTCTGACCATCCTTGCAAGGAAAATGATTCCTTACACCTAATTCTAACTTCCCACATTCCAACTTGTCTGTTGGCTTTTCTCCTATCACCACGCACCTTCAAGAAGAGACTAGCTCCATCTTCTCTCTATTTTCCCATTGGTTGAAACAGCACTAAGACCTCCCCTTACCTTCTCTTCTTAAGGCCGAATAAACCCAGTTCTTACACTCCCTCTCTATATGTCATGACCTCCAGTTCCCTGACCATCTACTTGGCCCTCTGCCAGACTCATTCAGTGCATACAAGAACATATGCAACAGATTAAGGGTTTACTGAGGAGACTAAAACTAAACACACAGTCCCTAAAAAGGGACCCTTAATCTGTTGGGTAAGTTTTTGTGCATATAAGCCAATATGTGGTCATCTTTCTTTGCTCCAAGGGTACACTGCTGACTCACATTCAACATGTTCCAACAGGAGCAAGTCTCTTGCTGCAAAGCAAGTTTCTAGCCAGTCAGTGCACCTCAGATGGAGGGCTTGGTACTCAGCTTTACTGAACCTTGGATGGCTCCTATCAAGCCATTTCTCCAGCCTGTACAGGCCGATCTGAACAGAGGGAGGGCATTGCTGTATCAACCACTCCCTCTAATTCTAATTCAGTATCATCCAAGACCTTGCTACAGGCGTACTCTGTCCTGCTGTGCAGATCATTAATAGACACAGGAAACGCCATTGGCCCAATATCAGTCCCTGAGGGACATTCTCTTAGTTGTCTGTAAAGCCCCATAAACATCTAAGATATTCCTATCTACAGAAAATGAAGGTTTCACATTCATTGAAAAAAAAGACAAATCACTTTGAAGTTTTAATTAGAAGCAACAAGTATATCATGAACCACCCAAAGTTCTTATTCAGAAGAAAAAGGAAAGCCTTTAGAAATCACACCTGTACTTTCTCAGTTTGCACTCAAAGTCAGAAACCAGCAAGTTCTGCAAAATCTACTTTTATCCTCAGATGTTCTTCTACTATATTCATAGCAAAATACCAACTTGTGGCTTAACAATTACCTGTGCTTACACCACAAATGTAGTCAAAAAGCTGATGAACCGGCTTTCCAGTTAGCTCTTCTAGTTTCCGTAGAGTCTGAAGTGCAACTAAACCCCTGAAACACAAAAAAGCCCCTTCACACACACAATTGTAGTTTTATCTTACATAGCTCAAACTAAGCTCACGTTTGCTTAATTATAACTTAGTAACTACAACAGTAAGAATGCTGAATATTTCAGGGAATGAAAGAGCAGCAGAATACAATTAAAACAGAATTACAAATACTAAATATAAATTACATACTCAAGCATACCAAAAATAGTACTCAACAGCTACAGCCATATTGTTTTGTAGCCATACTGTTTTGTAGCAAAGGCTCAGCGATGATCTTCCTTTGTAGACACAGACTCAGAGATTTTAGCTGCATCCACACCACATAGCACTTGCAGTTTGGTCTTAACAGGGCTATACAAATGCCCCTTAGGACACAGTATTTTTCTGTGGATTTTTTTTGCCTCAATTCAGTGTGTCTGAAGTAATGGGAGAGATGCATTCCAGACCATCAGACTTGTGCTTCTAATAGCACGAAACAAGAGTATCTGGCATGCAAAGGTGCTAACTCTGCTCAGCTAGAGCTAGCAAACTGTGTATGGCAAAAGGAACACCAGACCAAGTACCATCCTGTCAACGCATTCTGCCGAGAATGGCACCTCCCACATGCTGCCCCCAAATCTGTCCTGGATTGCGCTGAAGAGCAGTAATCAGCCCGGTCCAAAACTATAACCAGATGAACACCACGAAATAAGTAGCACAACAGCCCATAGTCAGTACTCAGGCTCATTCTCCAGACTTGTTTCATTTAGTGTTATAGATGTAGATATCATTTTCTAAAGATAAGGTGTCTTCTAATGTCACTCCTCTAGAAATCTGACAGAAAAATTAACACATTTCATTTATGCATATAGCATCCTTCTTTCTACTTTGTAAAATCTTTGTGGTTTACAATGAACTTTTGGAAACACAAATGTTGAAGTTATGACATACACTTACTCCTTACTGAAGACAACTGATTTTGATGCAAGAAACATTATGTCGAAGCAAAAAGTTTGTGAAACTGCATTTCTATAATGACTTCATGCTTCACATTCTATCAACACAGATTTGTGAATCAGTAAATATTTGCCAACAAGATTTTTTCAAATATGCCTGAGAACACAGCTTTTAGCAAACATCAGACTTCAAATTTAATGAACATGCTTCTGCTACTACTCTTTTACAAATTGTGGTAGGTGCAGAAATTCATGCAGAACTAGAGCACGCATAACTAAGGACATGTGGTGCACAAATTTTTTTTTTAAAAAGTGTTTGTTGTAGAAGAGATATAAAACAACAGCATGGCTAGAGTAGCTTTCACCACTAGCCTATTCATTCTTTCATAAGACCCGTCCTGCTAAGGCAGGTCACTCTCCAGACAAGCACAAGAACATTTTTTGTATTACTAAGTCAACACAGTCATAAGAGTATATACTACTTCCATCATTTCACACCAATTTTGTATTTCTGAGATCAGTCGTGAGCAGACTAACTCAAATAACCATTTAATTTACTTCCAAAAGGAGAAAGAGCCAATCCAACCACTTACGTGTGCAGCCAGCTTTAAACAGTTAAGTACTTTCAGTGTCATAGGACTACTAATGCATGGAAATTTAAGCACAAATGCATACAATAATATGCATATAATACCACCCATCACTTGGATAGTCAAATGTAACAGAACTGTAAATCATAAATTGCATCTTTAGGCACAAACTTATCAAAGAAAAACTGAATTTTTATTTCCAGTTACAGTATGAAAAAGGCTACAAGTATATAAAAAAACCTAGAGGTTTTACCTTGTTCCTCCCCCATCAATAGTGAGGACTCGAATTCCCCAGCCTTTCACAGGGTCTGTATATCCAATTATAGCTAAAGTCTCTCTAACAGCAGCCTGAAGACTTTCGTCATTTGCCTGTCTCAGTCGCAGTAGGCATGGGATTAATTTTTCCTATTGATAAACACAAAGATATTCAATTCCCACTATATGTTTCAACCAAAAGAATCCATACTTAAATTTACTAGTTTGGCATTTAAGTACAAAAGTAACGTAGTTGTTAAATTCAGAGGAAAACATCTTCAAATCTGTATTTACTCATCTATCTTTCTAACAAGGGAAAGAAAGCACTCCAGTATTATGTTGTACAGCACTCATTGATAAAGTAACTACCTATAAGAATTAAATAACCAAGGTGAAATGTAAACCTTTCAAATAGCTAGAAAAGTTATATTTGCCAGCAGTTTACTTTTAGTGACTTTAATGTCACAGTGGTCAAATAAAAACTCAACTCCAGAGCACATCAAGTATAGCTAAAAGCCCAGATTTTGCTAAGTATCACACCATTTCAAAACAGTAAATGCTTTCTAAGTAAACTAATATTAAAACAAAATAAAAATTACAATTCTTCCTCACACTGAGTAATATTTAATGTACTATTATTATCACAAAGATATAGAGTATTATAATCAAAACTAGAGTAGTGAAGTTACCCTTTCATAATAAAGTAATTCACATCTATTCTTGTGGATGCCTGCCTTGTACCCTGCCTAGATTATTCATCTGGCCTGCACTCTATTCCCAAAGATCTCTTTTCCAGAAATACTATAACCTATGTCACGCATCTGTCACACCTTGTGGAAAAAGGCACAGGACCAACAAATGCTGTGATTTGGCTAGTACTGCTAAAATAGTCTACCACCCACCTCCTGTCCTCTCACTGCAGGAACGAGAATTAGTAGGACCAGACTATGTGAACTTATATTTGATGGTTATACCCCACTGTTGTCATCTCTCTTTGAAGGAAGCATGCAAACAAGCATAAAAACTGTTGTTCATACGCAGATCAACTGTACCGTACATTCCCGTCTGGTCAATTGCAACAGAGGACACAGTGTATGACCTTTGTCTACCACTAGAATAAGCTACACTATCTATCCACATGATAATGCTGTATGCTTCTAAATTAAACATTGCAATCTTAAGAGCCTTAAGCTAAACTACTGATAGCTTGCATAAGAATCTGCTTGAACCAGCTAAAAAAATAGCTATGAAAAGAGACATTCATACTGTAATCTTCACAAATAAAAAATATGACCAGTCCACAAAAGCACAAAGAAAGTTTTATGTTATTCTATGGCAATCCATCTGTCAGATATCTATTTTTTGTCTAAGCATAAAGACTATTTGCACCTTAATTGCAACTCCTCTGCTCTCTGGAAATTCTAGAAGATGATAGCTCAGCTCTTCAACCCGGCTGATACAGATTCTTCGATTAGAGGATCTTCGTAGGGCTTGAACTAAAGCTCGAGTCCTGTTATCAATACTCACTCTTGCAATAATCTAAAAAAGATAAAGTTACACAAATAACATAAAACTACTCTAAGAAACATGTAAAATTTATCAAGACTAATTCCAAAATGTTATTTTAAGATTTCTTGGAAGTAAAGGACAGCATGTTGTACTAGAGATCTGCTACAGGCTCCGAGTAAGCATTGCTTAAATGTAAACAGCCAACCTTTTGATTCTTTGTTTACTAGAAAAATAAATAAACGCGGTTCACAGCAGCAATACACCAAACAAATACATGTCAGCATGTATTCAGATGTATTTTCAGGGCAACTTTGAAATCCCAGTATTTGGACCATGAAGGAGTATAAGATTGCTGTAACTACAACAACAAAAAAAAGGCAACTACATCCATCGATATTTATGTGCTTTCTCTCTACATACATACATATATACATATACTATACACACATGTACTATACGCTTAGATATAAAATTACATATACATAAAATTACTAACATAAAAAGTAGGTACACATATATGTATACATATATAAATAAGTATACATGTACATGTAAGCTTACATATAACTTACATACAGTATGTATATATAGTTTTTATGTGTATATAAACATGCTTATATAAATAAGTACATATGTACTTATATATACTTATACATATAAACCTATATGTACATATACATGTATTAAATGTAAGTATGTACACAGGTCATACTAATTTATGTAAGTATTTATGTGTGTATATATGCATACATAAGTTTACATATAGGTGTATATACACGTGTGTATAGTATATATATACACTTGTAAAAAATACACATATACATAGAAGATAACACTAAACAAATACTTACTTTTTCTCTCTGAAGAGACAGACGCTTTTCCCTCTCTTCTGCAGTCTTAGCCTCTTTTGCGTCGTCCTCCTCATCTTTCTCAGACACTTGTTCTGGCTCTTTACTCTTTTCTTGTGAAACAACTTTTGTATCAGACCTCAACTTGGGAACTAACCCAACAATGTAACTGTCTACAAAAGCTTGTACACTGTTACTGGGATATGAAAGAAAGTTTGCAATACTTCTTTTAGAGGAAACTGGAAGAGCAGTATTTGTCTTTTCAGCACCCAGAGTCTCTGCTTCAGGAGCTAAAGTAGCTGCTAGGGTTTTCTTCACTCATTACAGTATTTTCTGATGAATCAAGCTTATTCCTTTCTTCACTTTTAGAGTCCGGTATCAAAGCATTCCTTTTTTTCTCTTGATCCATAACAATATTGTTAAAGTACCAGTTGATATGATCAGCTACAAAGTTGAAAGTCTCTCCAAAATTAGTAGAAAAGTAGCTTACATGAAAAAGGTGTGTTTTAATAGACGCTGAATCTTCTGGAGTATCTTGATTAACGCCACTTGAACTTACTAACATAAACTCCGACTTTTCATTTGCACAACTGGATTTCTTTGCAGCTGGGCCTCTGTCACAATCCTCCTGAGTTCTGGCATCTGTGACTTGTTTATCGTTTTCTAGATTTGTACTGATGTTATTTCCACCTGCATTACTTTTATTTGCTTTTCCCAGAGTACCTGAGTGTGACTTTAATCGAGCTATCCGTGATATCAGGTCACTGTGAGTGCCAGACACTGCCTTTGAAACAGATTCTATAGTATTCTTAATTCGTGACATGCGATTGTTCACTTTTGTGAGTCCTTTGGAAGAAGAAGTTAAAAGTTTAGAAACTCCGTAGTATAAAAAGTCATGGCTGTAAACGTATTTGTCACACCAAAATGTTCTGCTTCTGGCCCATTTACACCGAGGCTCGCTTGTATGAAAAACTCTAGGGTGAATGGCATGATTTATCCTCCAGCAGACTTTAGGTCTATACAAATAGACGTATTTGTTTCTTTGCTTCCACCAAAGACTTTTGGGGTTAATCACAAAGAACAAATATGCATCTAAAGATAAATTAACTGTCATTACTTATAAATAATTACACCTTTTCTATGTTGCTTGTCTACTTCATTCCAGAAAATATATTTCAATAAATGAGTCTCATATCACGGTGTTACCTGAAAAAGAAAAAAAAAAAAAAAAAAACAATGGAACCCTAAAGCCAGTAACAGGTTAAATTAAAATCACACAGTTACTTAAAGCAGATACAGCTTATTTATTCTTGCAGTAAAGATAGTTAAACATTAAAATCAAATAATGACATGGAAATATTACTGCTCAGGACACTTGGTAGTGTCATCCCAACATTTTAATTTCAACAGGTTCTTCCTTAGAGGCCAGTGTAAATACATCTTGAGCAATACACACCACTTGCTGAAAGCATTTAATGACATACATAAAATTGCTTGTTGGCTTTTCCAATAAAGAAAAATATCCCTTCAGCAAATTATCTTGTACAGAGACCAAATTTCAAATGAAACTGTTATAACATTACCACTCCTTTGCAGAATTCTTCCCAGGGGAGAAAGGACACCAATTATTCATGCAACACTTCAGTATAAAACCACAAGTTCATCAAGACCTTCCTTTTCTAAGAGCAGTGTGTAATCCTTCCTCTGCACCAAAAACACCCATGTTTCTGGGGTGGATCAGAGTTTCACACAGTACACAAGAGCTGCGCTGAAACTGGAGAAGCAAAGGCACTACTTGCCTAAAGGGCAAGCTGTGACAAGCAGAGGTCAGGCAGGCCCATCCCTGCGCAGGCCAACGCCAAGGTAACCGCAGAGGCGACACCGCTGCAGGCAGGAGCGTCCTTACTCAGTTTC